ACTTAAGGGCTTTGTATCCTTCATAAATGTCGTTCAGTGTAGTTCGAACTGACTCTACTTGCAATCCTAGCGTAGCTCTATTAGAATGTTCCTTTATGTTAAGCAAGGTCAATTGCAAGCCTTTATGGAATGGAGGAAGCATTTTACATATAAGGCTAGTATCAACCTATCGATGTCGGTGGCATAGGGGCTTGGATATCACGGAGAAGGGTCGAATGATGATGCCATGCGTGCATCGTTGAGCGAAATCTCTGGCCATGGCGTTTCCGGCGCCGAATATGTAAGGAGTCTAGGTGCAAAAAAAATCAGTTCGATCAAACATTGACGACAGCACGAAAAAGGAGTCTATTAAAGGTTAAAACAAATAACGCAGCTAAAAAGACATTGAACTTGTGTGGAGATTAGCACTAGTCTTAGACCAACGAAAAGACACGGAGAATACTTCGTCCTGCTGGAAAACTCTGTATTCAAGTCGTAGGAATTTTTTTAAGGATACTGAGCACACCTCTGTCATATATGATCGTTTTAACCATCGAATAACTCAAATAGGCACCATTCAACTGATTTTCTCCACTAGCGCCTCAGAGTGGCTCCACGTTTTTAATCAACGGGTGCGTAGTGCACTACACTTTTAGTACAGTACCCTTTCTTAAGGAGACTTTTAGTGAGAACGTAACCATATGCACCTTGTTGGTCTCTATTGTGGTATAGGTTTAACTTAGCCTAGCTTACATTTGTTCAACACTTTAATATGGTGTTTTTATAGATCACAAAAAATCTTGTGAGGTTTGCTAAAACCTTCACTTCACTTGCAGTTTACTGCTTGGACAAGTCTTCTACCCGCCACCCCATGTGCACGTCGTTTCATTAATCAGGATTGTCCTCTGAAAATGATGAAGCACTATTTCGTTGGACGTATGGCAGTAAGTGTAATAAAAATGGACGACTAAAGTTTGTATATCATGTGAAAATTGCTAAAACTGAAAATTTCTTGTCCTTCAAAAGAATTCAAAGGGCCTGTCTTCAAAAGTACAAATACTAATGACAGTATGTATTCTTTCTTTGATAAGCTTACACGAGGCTGATAAATAATCTTTATTTGGCTAACGTTTCAACGTCTTCGTCTTCATCAGAGCCGACGATCCGAGTCTACGGTCCACGGTTCTTCTTCGTCTCTATTTGGTGTCTTCCCTTTCATATCGAGTTGAGTCTTCCTCACGGGGCCATCTCTCGAATTTAAAATACTAATCACAGCTTTCTTCTTTAGAAAATAAGACAAGTTTCAACAGATTGAAGTTTTTATGACTTCTCCAGATATGTCGAGGGCGCTAGCACTCTTCCCAATTCACGTGTCGTCGTGCAAATGCTGGCTTCCCTTTGTGGGTTCGATTTTCCTTTGCGAATTTGTCGTGTTCTTTCTTCACTAACATGCTGAGTAGTTTTCTCCGAATTCCCGAGAGAGCCATTTTACGCGATTCGTGGGCCTTCAGCGCAAACAGTAGCCGAGTTTTTTGGATCAGAAGAAAGTTCGCTGTCTTTCGACTAGATTTCTTTCTATGACAGTAGTGATGAGGAGAAATGCTTTTTGTTGGTCGTTTTATTGTTGTAGCAAGCCCTAGACAAAGTCTCCAAACTAACGAACTCATTAACATGAAGTGACCTCAGTTTTCTTGCAGAACTTCCTCAAAAGAAGCGCTATCACTTCGACAGCGCAATCACTTATTGCAAATGACCTTAGTGATGTTGGACTTCGTTAAAATCAACATGAATCTTTCAAATCCGAGAAATGTCTGAAAATACCACAGTCATTTTAAACGCTTACTGACTGGCCTGAGACTTTTTTACGTAAACTCCTACATTCATATTTCCCAATCCTCACAAGATGAATGAATCGCTCAGGATTTTCTCTTCTCGGAATCCTAAGCGACCATAAGCAATCTTTATGACAACAATGTTCGTTTTTTCTCTGAGAAATTTTTCTATCTCCATTCCCTAAATGGGTTTGTTATTACAAACATCCTGTTAATAATGAGTGGATCCGACTTTTATAATTGCGTGCCTTTAGGCCAGGATTGGAAGATGTCTGAACAGAAGATTGGCGCTTTAGAGCGGATGTCTTGGAACGTTCTGCCTCCGATTAGCTATGCGCAAAGTATGCCCTTTGCTGTATTCCCTAAGGATTTGGAAGACAACGCCGAACTAGATTCTCTAGTTTATTCGACGGAAAGGCGACTGTAACTATCAAAAATACGACTACTTGAACAGATTCTAGGATCTTGACAGTTTCGAAACTATTAAAAAAATATTAGAAACTTCAGCTAAGGCAAGGAGAATGAAAAGAAAGGCAGAAGAATATGCTCCATCGAAATCCAAAAGGCTATGTCAGTGGAGTGGAAGCTTCCCGCTGCTCTGGTTGCAGAGATGTCCTTTGTGTCATTTGTCTTTTTTTTGAAACACAATACTCGTTAATATTATTACACTTTCCTATTCAATTATGTTTTCGCAGTGAGTCGATAAAGAAAGAGGGTGGTGTACTTTTGAAAGAATGAGTTTCCATTTCCTCCCACATTCGAAGAAAATGACGTCGCAGCGCTCAACACTTTTCTACCGCGTTTTCTAGTTCAATTCTTCAAAGTGAACTGACTATGACTAGTATCTCGTAATCGTTTATGTTCTTTTTTATTTTGACAACTAATAAGAAGGACTCCGAATATTTTAAGAAGATCATCTGGAAGTTGTTCTTCGAGAACAAATCATAGTGATTTTTCACCATTCATCTGCTCGCAAGGCTTCTTTGGACTACTAAAAAAGAAAGACCGTAACCATATAGGTCTAAAATCCATGGATGAAGGAATATGGCTCCGACTGAGGTTAGCGCAGTCTTTGCTGTTCGTTGACTTGTTGAACTCTGGTGAAACATGCGCTATATTGTGTAGAACACAACGGCTTATGAGGAAAGAAGAGTCTTTCATCGGAAAGGAGGATAATCCGGAGAATCTGAAGCCAGTGATGGCTTAAAGCGTTCTCGCGGTCATTCTTCGAAATGCCAGCCATCCGTCGGATGCTAACTGGCGGAGCGATTCTGAGCTAGAACACGCCCTTCAGCTCCGTGTTAATGAAGAATAAAAGTGGTTAGGGGGAGTACGGAGAAGGCATTTGGCTAACGACTTGCTCTCATCCTATCGTCTTAGCAGAAACCCAACCCTTCAATCCTGTTCATTCCGACGGCAATGGACGACGACAGAAAGAGAAGTCTGATTTCGATCAATCAGAAGAAGCACTCACAAGGTGTTAATGATTTGCTGATTAGCATTTATATGCGATTTATCACTGTTCACGGTTTTTGCAAAAATTTATTTTTCAAGATTTAGCACATTGAACACTAGGTAGTTTTTGAGAAATGAATACATGAGTTTAATCAGGAGATTATATTGTTCCGCTTTGAATGCGTTCTCTATTATAGTTTGATGATGTTAGCGGGTATGGAAATCGCCATCAATCCACACTATTCAAATATTTAGAACCCTCATGACGTCATAATTTTTCCAATTTCGTTGTGGTTCGAGAAATGAACGACTTCCCATTTTCATTATTGGTACTATTTCTTTCTTCTTCGCTTTATCTCTGTGTTTCCTCTCTCTGCTCGAACTTGTGGCGATATTCTCTCAGTGACATTCGACTTTTTCTCAAGAGCCTAAATTCAAATTATCTTTGAAAAATTCTATCCGATGCTGGAGATAGCCAGAATGGACTGTCCATTCCTAATCACGGCGCTTACTACCACGTATCCATTTCCTGTAGTACTCCTAACACTGCGATACTGGTTGTGAAGTGCAAGCGTTTGAAATAGCATAAATTTGCATCACTAATCCACTTTGTTATCAATGTGAATGATGCTATTCTACGACGAAATTCCACGAAAAGAATATTTCAAGGGTTCCTTAAAAATCCGAAAATAAGCATAAGAATTTCATTAACTACGTTCGACTAAGTGTTCTTAATCTTTTTGTTCTTTTTACCAATTTTAGAAAACTAGCTGAAAGACAGACAAAGCGAAGGAGCCGTATGGTGTGGTGGTGAACGCGTTAGCCCCGGAAGGGGTAGTAGCACGTTCGTTCCCCACCGCAGGTACCTGTAGGCCGGAGTTTTGCAAATATCCCAGCACCATTGTGGTTCTGTTTTGCAGTAATACCTTGCCATGAAAAATTTTAAAAGGCAGCAAATAAAATAAGTAAGCTTAAAAAGTACGGATACTATGACTGCGATTGTAATAATTATTCGGCTGATTAAACGGTTTCCGTTTTCTATGCGAACGAGAAAAATATCACTTTCGAGTAGTTTTAGGATTATTCAGTCTGTGAACATCTTTCTATTTCTGTAAAATTACGTCATTTGATTGAAGCAGTAATCGATTCCGTTAGTGGAGAGGCTTAGAATCCGAAGCGAATGACACAAAAATTCTTAAATAAGCCTATTGCACAATCCGCTGCCGCTTTCTGGTTCCAGATTCAATTCGTTTTCAATTCATCACAGTCGATATGGTTCCGAATAATTCGTATTACCATTTGCCTCAGTCTGCCATTGCGAAGACAGAAATCATTTTCGAAAAGAGAAAAGTCATTACATTCCCAAAAGAGCAATCTAATCTAGTAAGTCGTTCCCAATAACGAAAGAAGTTGGAAAGCTTCTATGAACAGCAGAGGAAATTTATATGAGTAAGGACTTTGTTCTACGATACGATCTTACAATGAATTATTTTGAAGTATAAACTTATAGTACGAACATGACGATGCTGTGATGTTCGCAAAACTTGGACTTCGGGTCAGATCGAACCATGATCACCCATTCGAGGACCCGCGTATTACACACTGTACCACGGAGGGCCTTGCTTTGCGTTTTTCTCAGCTGGTTTTCTACTTAACGCTATAGTATAGCATATAGTACAAATGGATATACTTCCTCACACCGAACCAGCCAACTTATTCGTTTTCCTTTATACTCTACTTTTCAGTCGCAAAGGCGGCAGTTCTTTCGTCGGCGATGCTGACGAGAAAGAACTCGTCCGGACGAGTGGTCGGTACAACATTTCCCGGACGAGAAAGCATAGCGGCGATTTCGGATTTGCTTTCTACACAACAGAAGAATGCTCTTAAACAAAGTATGGTCTTAATTCTAAGCTTTAAATAATGTGAAATGAAGAAGAGGCAGTCAACGAGGTTTGTTAGAAATAATTTTCAAAAGAAAAAGGCATCACAGATGCGCTCAGTGAGACTACGCAAGTTTATAGATTATTGAACAATCCTACAATTATTGCATACGTAGCGACTACGAATGAAAAACTGAGAAAAATTGTTGAAGAAGATTAAGAGGAAAGAAAACATGGTCCTTTAAGCGCCGAATTCCTCTAGAATTGTACACAAGCAAACATCCTCAAAATGTTCCAGTTTGGATTTTAAGTGAAGCGACATGTCTTTTAATGAGTTCCAATACGTTCACGCGTTATAAAAAAAGAACCAGTTAGTGCGATTAATTTGTCTATCTAACGTCTTTTCTAACGGATCTCCCACATATGAGGGATCTCGAGCCGGTTAGTCGCGAGGCCACGTTTCGCTTCTCCAGGTGGTGCACAGGGAATTAATCGACAACCAAAAGCGACTTTTGCTTCCCTGAGACGCAGGTGGATCCAGAGGATGGACTCCCTGTTTCTGCTACGCCGATTTGGCACATACTTTCTGTATATGCTAGGCGTATTCATGCATGCGTGTGTGGGTGCGTTCTTGCTTATGCGGATTGTATTCTACGAGTCAATTCGACCAAAACCCTGCAATGAAGTGACATTGAAGTTATGGAAGGCGGTTAGGAGTCGCCTCCAACAAGTAAGATCCATGTCCACTCTGGGAGAGACTGGCAAGCTACCCGTAAATATACCCAGGCCCCACGTTCAGAGCCCAGCAAGCTATACGTGGGTATCAGAATGCTAAACACAGTAATAGAAACGGACCTCATTCCCCTAACCACGAAAGAGCTCCCAATTTTGCAGCGTTGGGTAGGACGAGTATATAGAGTTATAGAATTGGAGAGGCTGCTAAAATCTCAGGGATAATGGAAGCTGCCTGGATGCCGAAGAACTATGGTGACGATCTGTACCTACAATGCATGTACACTTGCATCCAAGTCCTCGATAGAAGACTTGATCATGCAAGCGAGAAAGGTAAGGTACGACGTCATCGGCCTGGCCGAGACGAGACGACGCCATTCATTCAACGCTATCTATGGCACCAGAGAAGAACTGTTCCTCGGAACATGTGGCATCGGCGTTGTTGTCAACACGAGTTTGTCCATGAACATCGATTCATTCGAACAACTTACAACCCGAACCGGACGTTTGCGATTGAAAAGATATGGGTCAATACTGGTTTTGACAATCTTCGCAGTTTACGCGCACACATCAAACTACGACGAAGAAGAAGTCGAAGCGTACTATATGAACTTGGAGAAGTTCTACAGAGAAGACCACACATTCTTCAAGATCATCATTGGAGAAACATCTCTTAATAACTCGAAAGACCGACTTTCTATAAACCTCGGCATAGATAGTTGATATATTTATTTATGTGATCTTATAAACTGATCTTCTTAAGCTGACGCGAGGTTGGTACAGGTCTTCGTTGTCGTTGTCGTTGTTTTTGATGTAATTGATCGATGGCTGACGTTTCGGCGACTTTGCCTTCCTCAGAGCCTGGACGTACTTTATGTTAGAATACTTTTTATTATTGGGTGGAAAAGAAGGTTAAAGTATTAATGAAGATCAAACTTTCAAATAGACGCCATATTGAACAGAAAGGCCACTCACCGC